GTTAGAATCAACTCAACAGCGTGAGTTAGTTTTTTTTGGAATGTGCTGTAGGTAAGCACTGGGCCGCTCATAAGGTCAGTGATTCCACCCGCTCCTCGGAAATCCTACACAGGGTCGCTATGAGTCAGAACTGACTCAACAACTCCTGTGAAGATCCAGTTTAGGAAACCCTAAGGAGCCCTTCTGTCCTGTCCTGTATCAGCTTGACAGCAGTGGGTTAAGTGTTGAAAAGTTGGGTAGTCCAAACCCACCAGCCGCTCCACTGGTGCAAGCTGAAGCCACCTGCTTCCAGAGACGTGCAGCCTAGGAAACCCTGGGCAGCTCCACTCCGTCAGATAGGGTCACTGTGAGTTGGCGGTGAGCTTGGCGGTTCCTGTCTAGTCTCTCCCTTGTGCTTGCATCTCAACAGAGGAAGACAAAGTACCCAAGTGCCCTCCTCCCACCCCGCCTCTGCTCTCTGGTACCCACCATCACCACCTCACTGTCTTACTGGTAAAATACACTCAGCTCCACCCCACTCTCCTGAGGGTGCACTCCACCCTACCCCCCACAGCTCCCTTTCTGTTTCACACATCAAGAACCCTGGGAAGGCTGACAAAGGGGCTACCAGCCCTGGGTAAAGGCACTTGCTTCTGAATCTCAGCTTCCTACCCTAGTTTTTAAGTGCCGTTGAGTCGATTCCGACCCATAACGACCCTGTATAGGGTTTCCAAGGAGCAGCTGGTGAGCTGGAACCACCAACCTTGCAGTTCAAATGACTTTGCAGTTTGATGCATTAACCCACAGCACCACACCAGGACTCCCCTAGTGGTGACACATAAAAATGGAAAGAACAGTGGAGACAAGAGAAGGAAACTGAATTCTGTAAGAAGGAAAGCAGAAGTGAATGGTAACGAACTTAGCAACCTGGAGAAATTGGAAATCTTCAGTCCTCCATGAGCAGAAGGCACCAGGGAAGCTCAGTGTTGCTGGCTGGTGCCAGAAAGAGAGGCTGAAAGTCTACAGAAGAAAGGGGGTGGCTGTCTAGTGGGTTGGCAGGGCAAGCTTACTAATGGGCACAGCAGGCCCAGCTGAGGCAGGCTGTGGGGTTGAGTGAAAGTTTGCATTCCTAAGCAGTTACTAGGCTCCCTCCTTTTCAAAGAGAAGCCCACTCTTACTTGCCCATAGTGCCTCATCGTTCATATGAAAGGATAAGCAAGGCTGAAGGATTGAAGAAAACCTCTTAGAGGAAACGGGAAGTTAGGAGAGGCAATGCAGGGAAAGGAGAAAAAATTTTTAAGTAACTTACCATCATTAATATCTTCAGAAATATGAGATGATAGTGTGTCTGTCAGAAAGTGATGTTAAAAATATTATAGAAAACAAAAAAAGTACATAAGGAAAGGAGATTATTGGATTGATCCAGGATCTCTACCACCGAGTACTCAAAGATCCAGAAAGAGGATGAGGAAGGAGTGAAAAATAAAACAGCATAAAACATCGTAAAAATTCACAACGCGAAGACCTTACAGGCTTCCAGAGCAACACTCCCGTCACAAACAAGATGGTGAGGCACAGTGCTGAGAATGTAGGAAGTTTGAAGACAGTGCAGAAATGCCTCCAGGTTAGATAGAATATGCTTTAGGGAAATGAGGGCATCAACCGAGAAGAGGCACATGGGGAACAGGGAGTTCCAGTGGAGGGGTGATGGTGAAGAGAGGTGCTGCGTGCCCCAATACCGCAGACACAGGCCTGGGGAGGGATGGCTCCAGGAAAATCAGAGCTGTGTCTGAGATGTGCATGAACATGCTGAAAAGGGGTCTCACAGTTCAGAAAATGTGAGACTCAGGTACTATCACAGAAACCTGTGCAAAAAAGGGGGGAGGTGGGGGTACTGAAGCAATTGTTAGTTCCAAGAAGCAGCAAAAGTGGTCTAAGAAAGGCTTTAACCAAAATCTGCATGTAAGTATATTGGGACCGATGGGGACAGGAGAGTGTATGTGTACTTGTGGACTGGATCAAGTCAAGTCTATCGCTTCTGTAGTAAAAATAATTATAGCTATTTTGTGGTGCTATTGGATAAGCACTGGACTGCTCCTACCAGTCACTCCTCAGAAATCCTATACAGCTCTGCTATACATTGAAACCACTAAACAACATTCAGTGGTGGGCAGCGGTGTTCCAGTGGTAGAATTCTTACCTCTCATGTGCGAAGTTTCTGGCCAGTGCACCATCTGTCAGTGGGTGCCTGCTTGTTATCCCGATGCCGAACAGGCTCCAACTGGAGCTTACACACTAATAGAGACGAGAAGGAATAGCCTGGTAGCTATTGTAGAAAACCCATCAGTGGAGCACATAGTGTATGTAGCTGCTGTCACGTCACAGAGATGTTCCAGACCCAGAATGTTCTCAGTGCGACTGAGAGACGAGGTGGCATGCAGGGCAGTGAAGTGGATTGACAAGGAAACACCAGAGGTTGTACAGGAGTTGGCCTGTTGGAACATGGTGTTATAGCCTTGGAGTAGGGGTGACAAGTAGTGAGAATCCGTTACCAGAAGGAAGAGTTGACTGATCTCACTCATTAGAGGTAGGAAGTCCTAGGTGGAGAAAACAATGTGCTCACCACTAACCAAAAAAGTGGAGGTTCCATCCACAGACAGGTCCCTGGGAGGGACAAAGGCCTGCCTGGTAGTCCACTTCCAAAATTCAGCCACAGCTCTGCTCTGACCCAGTTGCCATGAGTTGGGATTAATCTGGCAACAACTGGGAAGTGGTACTAGAGGGCTGGATGCAGGGGTGGGTGAGAGAAGTCAGATGGCTGTGTGCTGTGGAGTCAGTTCTGACTCACAGTGACCATGTACAGGGTTTCCAAGGCTATGAATCTTTACAGGAGCAGCTAATAGATTCGAACTGCTGACCTTGTGGTTGCAGTCCAACTTGCCACTAGATGAGACATCTCCCAAAATCCTCTCTTCCCTCTCTTCTTTTCTGCTCAGTTCATCACCTTCACTGAGCCCACCCTTGGTGCTCCCCACCCCAGCTAATGACCTCGTCATCCTCTGCCTCATGCCTGTGCCCTGCCACCCTCCCTGTGTGCTCCAAACAGCTGCGGCCTGTTGATTATAACTCCAAACCACTTGCATCTTCCTCTTCCGTCTGCACGTCTTGGTTCACATCTTGATTTCATATCCCAGGCTGGCTCCCAACATCCTCCTCACTGCTGTCAGCATCACTGTCCACACAGCTCAGACCAAGCACCTTCTCTGCTCAAGTGCCCTGTGTGATCAAGTGGCATCTGCCAGCCCATTTTGGAGTGTGGCCTGTCTGAGACCTCTGGGGCACTTAGGTCCCTGCAGAGGGGAGGCAAGCCTGAGCCCCACTGTGCTGCCCCAGCCCTGGTTGTGCTCCGAAAACTGTCCCGAGAGAGAAGTGTGACTTTTACAGCCTGCACACAGCTGTGATGCACACCAGTGTCCTGGGGTCGGCTGCTGCTGGGGAACAGCTGGGTTCAGAGGTACCTGCCACAGAGCTCTTAGTAAATGTCCCATATAGGACAATGAAATGCCGAGGTCTGAAGGGTGAGCAGCCGCCCCTTTTTAACTTCTGTTTTCTTTTTGATTTCCACTTTTACACAGATCCAGCTGAGATTACTACAGTGAGCCACAGCGAAGACCTTGACGACTTCCTGGGTCCAGAAAGTCGTGTAGTGCTGGAACTACAATGATCTCTTGTAGCTGGATTACAGGTGATTGAAAACCATTTCTTAGTTTTCTAGAACAAATATTTAAGTCCTGCTAAAAAGGTTGAAACCTAGCTCCTCTGGACAATGGCAGTTGTACAAGACTTGGTCCCGGGATAGGTTTATGTCCGTTTGACAAACAACTGTGCTCTGTCAGTTTGCTGAAAAACAGCTGTAAATTTTGCTTAGCATTTCCAGGAACCAAGAGTGGGTCCTTCAGCTATCGCTGGATTTCAGGAAAGACAGACAGGACTTCCTGTGGCCGTGGGCTGCCTCAGCTTCGGGGCAGGTGTCCTCTGGGGCTGGGGTAGTTGTGTTTCAGAGCTGAAGAAGGCAGGTACTAGTTTAGGCCTAACTAAGGTCCTTCTTGAAGGAGTTACGAATCGGATTGCGAACCTCATGGTCAGCAGTTCAAAACTACCAGCTGTCCCCGCAAGAGAAAGATGAGGCTTTCTGCTCCCGTGAAGATTTACAGCCTCAGAAACCCTGTACAGGGTCGCTATGAGTCGGAACCGACTGCACGGCCCATAATCACCCCCAAGGTCCTTCTTGAGTCCTAATGTGGCGCTGTAGGGTAGGTGCAGGACCACAGGGTCAGTTTGAACTAACAAGGTTGGTAGTTCAAATTCTCCAGGGGCTCAACCACATCCCTGGACAGGGTCACTATGAATCAGAGCTGACTTGTCAACATTTAACAAGAAGAAGGACACCTCTTCAGCAAAGTTGATATGGGCTGTGCCTCTGACGTTGAGACTCCAAGGGGCCGTAGCTGCAGCCTGTCTGAAGTGAGTTCTAGTGAAGAGCAAAAGTCCACCCAGGTGCCCCACCTTCCTGCCATAGTAGCTAGGTGGCACCTTGTGTGTTCTGTTCAACACTTGGGGACAGCCTGGGTCCCAAGGCGAAAAGTAGAGCCATCACTAACTTTTCGTCACAAACATTTGCTGTTTTCTCCAGACGAGGGTTGACAGAATCTGGTCTTTACATTTTTAAATAGTTTAAAACAGAAAATAAGGCTATTCTGTAACATCTGAAAATGTTAGGCGATTCAGCTCTCAGCACACCAAGTCTGATTGGAACACAAAAGTGACACTCGCTTACTGTCATTCTGCCTTGGCAGCCTTTGCGCTCCAGGGACATCTGAGTCACGGTGACAGAGACAGCGTTACATATTTACTCTCTGGCCCTTGTTAATAGGACAGAAAAGGTTCGCCAAGCCCAACTCCAGACTGGAAGCTTTAGCTCACTTCTGTTTCTCTTCTCATCTGTAGCGTCTCTAGCCAACATGACCCACGTCTTCGTGTACGGCACCCTCAAGAGAGGACAGCCCAACCACGAGGTCATGCTAGACTGTACCAATGGCTTGGCGGTTTTCCGGGGTCGAGGCCGCACGGTGGAGCCCTACCCATTGGTGATAGCTGGAGAGCACAACATTCCATACCTGCTGAACCTCCCAGGAAGGGGCCACTGTGTGGCTGGAGAGATCTATGCTGTGGATGACAAGATGCTGCAGTTCCTTGATGAATTTGAAGACTGCCCAGACATGTACCAGCGCACTCTGGTGAGGATTGAGGTCCTTGAGGGGGAAGACAGATGCAGTGTCCCTGAGGAGATGCTGGCTGCTAACAAGATTGTACAGTGTTTTCTGTACAGTACAGCCACCTACTCGGCAGAGTGGGTCCATCTCCCATACCATGACAATTACGACTCTCAGGGGAATCACGGGCTTCGTTATAATCCACGGGAAAACAGATGAGGATGAAGACGGCCCCAATGATTCTGAGATTACTTCATCTTAATCTCACTGGATGCAAAAGCACAATGATGCTCTTTTAAGAAAAGATTTGGGAAACTCAATCTTGTAGGGGATGGGTGTTCTTTCGGTGAAGGCCAACTTTACAAATAATTCTGACAGATTAATAACCAGATCCTTCCCCTTACATCTGTCAGATACTGCTGGATTGCTAGCTGCTGTGCCTGCAGGACCTAGAAGTTTTGTTTTAAATACATGTAATAAAAACAGAGAAATATGCGTTGAGAACGTTGGATCAGTCTTAATTTTCAGATTGCATTGACGCAGAGCCTATTAAAATGATTCTTTCAAATGGAACGAGATGTTTGGGGAAATACAAATGCATTCATGCTCTTGGTGACCTTTGGGGGTACCCTTAGTGGTGTGGGAGTTCTGTTCACTGAACTTGCTGTAGATGGGGAAGTTCACCGGCTCCTGGCTGACTCCAGGAGGGGCAGCCTGGCAGTGAGCCTTCCAGAGAAGAGCCAACACGTTAGTAATTTGTTCTGCAGGCCTGACAGAAGGCTTAGCTTCCAAATGCAAACAGCACTTAAAATAATTTTAGAAAGGCACGAAGTACCAATTACTACCCACCTCCATCTGATGTTTTGTCAGTGGAGATTCAAATCAGCACACGATTTTTTTGCTTCTGCTTACCAGCAAAGTATGAAATGTATTCCAAGAATCTCAGGACCAGTTGAAAATGCAGCTGCTAGTCCTTAGTAATCTCGCTCTCTGTTGGGAAAATCTCACTCACTCTTCAACTTAATGGTAGATTGTGATCACTAAGTGCATCTGGCAGAAATACGGGATCATTATTTTTAGCCTTTTTTTTTAATTGGGAACTTGCTACTCACACACACACACACCCCCAGCTGATGAGCCCGTGGTGGCAGCACACACTAGTGTTGGGTGTGATGGTGGAGGGGAGCGGGGGTAGTGCCACATGTTTCTACTCTGAACAGCCGATTCCACCTCACAGCCAATTTAAAACCCAGGTCTCTGCTCCCCAGGAGTCTTCCTCAGCCCTTCTCCCAGAGAGCCGCTGGGTGGCTCCAACCACTGACCTTCACTTAGCAACCAAACTTGTGTTTCCCCACCGAGGCTCCTTTAGATCCAAAGCCACTCCTCCTGTGTAAAGCCACAACATCAAGGGGGGGTTTTCAAAATAATCCTCTGTCATATGGTCTGTAGAAAGTTCTGAGTCATCAGAAACCCGTCCTTACCTATGGAAGAAGTAATGTAATCAGAATATAAAACGGCAAATGGGAACTTCACCCGATAGAAGGTAGGTGGCTGGACATTTATGCAATTTTTAAAAGGATCATATGAAATACTAGTATTTAAAGTCTGGCACAGACGGTATCTATCCTCTTGTGTACATTGTCTTCATTTAAAAAAAAGGGCAAACTAATATTTAGACAAATGCTCAGTTTTATTGATTTAATTCTGACACTAGGAAATCTCACAGCAGAAGTACAAATCATATGTACAGTATTTATATCAATAAAAATTTCCAATGGTGATTTTTTGGCAGAATAGTGATTTTGACTATATGTGGAATAAATATGACCATGTAAAATCTGCTGCACAGGAGTGTTCCTGTTAAATGCTTGAATAAACTGAGTGTGAAAGAGTAATAATAAAAATGGCTAATTAAATTGGGTGATGACTGAAAGGCTGTAAATACTTCATTCCAGTTCCACGAGCAGATCTCCTTCTCCAACTGTGTCTCCAGTTTTACAGTGCACGGATTTCACCTTGGATTATAAACAAACAAAAAGAAGAGGGAGTAAGAAGGCAGCAGAAGTTGGAAAGAGGTGGGTTCCGACTGGACCTGCCATCAGCCCTCGCCCAGTAGGCCTGGTGGCCTTTCTGAAGGGCGGTGCCACCCTCCCGTTTCAGATCTCTTGGTCCATGGCAAGTTCTTACTGCCGTGCCTTTCCGGCTCCTTGCAGAAGTCAGGGCTTCTAGGCAGCACCTTAAAAAGCCCGAAACATTGGTGCCATCTGAGGCCTGTCGACTCATTCTTAGAGATTTAGGACGTGGAAATGCACTTTGAGAGCTCATAGTGAACTCAGCTTAGTGTCAAAAAAGAACAAAATGATGTCATATCTACAACAGATACTAATTAAAAGGGGAAACACCTCCGCACGGCCATGCACTTCCCTGGGAGATGTGGGGGGGGACGGGTGGCCCTCTGAATTCCTGTGCCCAGCAAGGCTGCTCCTGGGCTTTCTCAGTCTCTCACTGACTTCTCCCTCTCCCTAATGTCCCTCTCCTCTGTTCAAAGATTTCAATTTAGATGGGAGGAGTGGGAACGAGACGGGCCGTTTGACTTCTTGGAGGGTCTTGTTGGGGCATGAAAATGAGCAGTGGGTTAGCAGTAATTGGCCTTATGGGTAAGGAGCAAAACCCAGCTACGCCTGGTTTGGGATCTTTGCCAATGTTCTGTACCCCTCCGATGTGATTACACACTGGGCCTGCCTTTACTGCAAGCCTGGCTTTGTAAAGAGTGGTCATGTGGGCCTATGCCACGAAGACTTGAAAGGCCTCATCTGGCCGCTGTTATCTGGACTGAAGTGGCTGCTGTTTCACCATCTTGATGCTTCTGATGTTTGTATATGATGGGTTTTTACTTCTTGGGACTAGAGTGAAGGTTTACAGAAGAGATTATCAGTGTTACAGTCAGCAAATCTTAGTCTCTGCTTCACAACATGACTGCAGTCCCCTCCACGTACCAGCAGTTCCCAGCAGAGCTTGCTGTTCACTTCACCACTGCATCCCTCCTCCCTGTGTCTCCCACCACCCTCACCTTTCCTCTGCTGACCTCCCCATGTGAACACGTGTCTACCTTCTAGACTGTGAATAAATCCTCCCTCTCTCGCTGCCATCAAAACTAGGTATCTGATGTCTTTTTAATGACATTACAATTACCAGAGTACAGGATCTGTTCCACTGTCAACTTTTTTTCTGGGAGGACAAAAATGACCTCCCCAGCCCCAGACTTGGTCAGGGCTTGCCCCTCTGACGACTCTGCTGTGTCCTGTGGGGTCGGAATCAAGAGGTAAGGGGATAAGGGGAGAGAGACTCCAGCTAATAAGAGATTGGGCCCTAGTGCAGAATTCACTGAGACCCCACCAGTGCCCCCGGAAAAGTGGCTCCAGGCTGCTGATGGAGAGGGGGCGGTGTAGCCTCTTCCCTGAGTCCCTGGCCATGATGAAGTATGTATACAGACAGATGAGGAACAAGGACCACTACCCCTTAGTCCAGCAACTGACAAGAGTTTCGGTCATTATGTTAGATTGAGTTTCTCATCATGGATGAAAATCCCAGGCTGCAGTGGCACTGTAGGATAAACACTGGACTGAGACCCACAAGGTCAGCGGTTTGAGCCCACCAGTCGCATGCACCACAAGAGAAAGATGAGGCTTTCTAGTTCTGCAAAGATTTACAGCCTGGGAAACCCTATACAGAGACACTATGAGTCAGTACCAACTCGATGGCTCTTAACAAGTGCAGTATAAATATTAAATAATAAAAATATAAATAATCCCAATGAGCAAATATAAAATTTTTCATATTAACATAAAGTGACATTTCCTTGTTCACTTTTATAAAGGTAATCAAACTTAGAAAAGAGGATTTCTAAGAAACAAAAAACTGCAAATCATATCATTTGATTCTTCCCCAAGTCCCATGCTGGGCACAGCTGTGTGTGCCCCTCCTCCCACCTGCTCAGGGCCACCAGCCTGCCTGGGACCTCTGCTTCTTAATCTGGGCCTGATAGGTCTGTTCTCTGATCTGATCTCATTCCTTCTGGGGTGACAGGCCATTCTGAGAACTGATGGTGTTTCTCCCCACCATAGAACACAGCTTGCCTGTGGCTCAATTTTTCTTCCCAGGAATGCCGGACGGGGGCCCAGCCCTGCTGCTGTCCGAGTCTGAGCATCCTTCCACATCCACTCTCAGGAAGAATACTGATGTCAGTGATGTGAAGGACTGTTCCATTTAAGTAAAAACATTAAGGAGTTTTACTCTGAGGAAATTTTAATACTAATACATCTTCTCCTCCTGCCTCCCAAATCATGTGTATGTAGGGGTTTCAGCTACTCTTGATCTAAAATTGAGTTGTTCTCTTTGTGAAGAAATTATAAAGAGTTGCATTAATTTTTGCAATCTGTAAAACTATTTCCTGCTGTGTCACCTAAGTCTCCGATAACTAACTGCCTCCAAGACAGATGTAAACATTAAAAATTAAAGAGCCTATGATTTGAAAGACATTAGGGTGAACAACAACTGTTCTTTGCCTGCCTGAGCATCACACACAGATCCTTTTCTGGAAGGGCCACTCAAGGTGTGGCAGGTATGTACAGTGCAGAGAGAATGCTCCTCCCTCCCCTCACCCCCACCAGTGTCGACGGCAGAGTGGACCGAAGCTCGGCATGACCCCTGCAGACTTAACAGTCCAGGACTCAAAGGTGGAGCTGTTTCCTGTGTGTATGGCAGGGGAAGAATGAGGGGGACGTACCTTGCCAGTTTTACCAGCTGCCATACTGTTCTGCATTTTCATAGCTTCAATGACACAAATCTCCTGACCTTCTACTACCTGGAAAACAAACCAAAAATGGACAAAAGAATTAAAAGCATTCCAATTTTGTATTACTATTCAAGTGAAGCCATTCAGAACTCCGTTGTGAAATAGTCTGAAATTGTATATGAGCATCAGCAATAACCTCACACTGTTCATATTCAAAGTTCGCTGCTAGGGGATAGCAGAGGAAGACCACTCACTCGCTCACTGTTCAGTCCAGGTTAGAAAGCCCATCCCTCAGAGTGGAAGTGATTCCCTGGGAATCTATTGGCGCGAGCTGTGCAACAAACAGAGGTGCTGTTAAAACAATGTTTTTCCATTTCTATGAAATGTCCAGGATAAGCAAATCTAGACAGATTTCTGGTTGTCT